TAAGCTTTCCAACGCCACAAGAATCAAATCATTTGGAAGTCTGAATGCTGAGATATGCCTAAAAAACTGAGACTTGGTCATAAGAGTATCGCAGCAGCTATATTTCAGTAATTTGGACTTTTGATTATGAAAAGTGCTAACTAGACTTTGATGTCTTCACAAAAATTGTAGAGCTTTCTTTAGCTTCAAATTAAATCAAGAATCATATCAATCCGCTTGGTAGCTCAAGTTATTGCCAAAATACTGAAACATGTCAATCCTGTCAAATCCTTTTATTACCTTTTTAGTTCTATATATATATATATATGTATGTATGTATAGAACTGCATATCTATGTCAGTGCATGCTAGCATGCATGTGTGTGCATATATATAGCAAGATATTTCTTCGCTCCAAAGAATGATTTCTGTTATGCATGCCTGAATGTCAGGAAAAAGTCAATTGCATCATTTAAGTGTGATAAATCCAGTGGTTCAAGTTTATAAGCAATTTAAACAGAGATTTGTTATACTTAGGCTCAATGGATAGTCTCTTAATCTGCCGGTTTGGATTTTAAGACCATGAAAATGGAAAACAGATTTGTAACCAGTTGTTTTAGGGATGTCTGAGGATGAGAATAGCCACAGACTAGATTTTACTTGTTTTAGAGTTAGTTTTCGTACTCACAATTGCTTGCACATTTTGTTCATCAAGAACAGCAAAATGGCAAAGGAACAAAATGGCTATATATCTTTGACATCCACAAAAAAGCTGCAGAAGATATCAATTGCCTGTTGGCCATCTTTATCAGATAAAAGGTTCCTGTGACAGACATGCTGAATTATGTGCCTCATGATTTAGGCTCTTCTATGATGAAAACGGACTTCTGGATATAAAACTTTCAGGAAAGTCTTCTTGAAATGTTCCTGCAAAACTTTAGTTTTTCCATAATTCTTAATAGCCAGCAAAATCAAGATTTGATTTTTTTATAATGACAAAGGACCTTATACTGAAATCACGTTTTGCTTGTTGCTCATACGCTGAATTGCTTGTTTCAACTGTACGCTTCGATTGAGTGAGCATGATTTCCTCCCTATGTATGCCAAAAGCATTCGTTTTCTCTGTCATTACAATAAACTTTGTGTACTTGCAGCCATATCTAATGCTATCTCCAACTGATTGCACTTGACATAATTCACTAACTCTATCTCTAACTAACGGATCTGTGTCATCAAGTTGTTCACTTCCTCAGAAGAACTCTGTCCCACTGTCCTGATTTATGATCGGTATGCTTCTACATATATACCTTGGGCTTTTCCTAATGGATGCTCTTACCTCTCCCTCTACTTACGACGATTTTCTTATCTCAATAGCTTAGCCTTGACACTCTTGGGCTCAAAAAATTTTTGCTTTAGATACTTCTTCTATACAAGTTGTTGGGGCCATAATATGTTGCTTTTACATTGTCTGACATTATATGAAACATTGTGTCTGACATGTTCTATTCTTCTTCCTCGTGCAATAAGATACTTCTATTTTTTGCATAATATGCCAAACTTATCATGTATAATAGGCTGGAGAAAGTAGATTTTTTGTATCTTCTAGAAAAAGTAGGGAGAATGGCCAGGGCTGTGCAAATTATTGTCATCATTATCATTCTCTAAGTTTTAAGGAAAATGGTTGTTTGGAGCCCTGCTGGAGCAGACATTTCTAATCACCTGTATGAAAGTGGAGATTCAGTTTTTTTTCTATGTTAGCAAGATTGGTCCATATCTAAACCCAAGGTAATTTTCTTGCCATGTTGCTCATCAGTTGCATTTTGTTCAAGTGAAAATTTACACTTTGATCTCATTTCAGTCATTAGAGTTTTAAGTTTTTTTTTTTTTTAATCCTTCGACCCATTTGTTTATTTGTGTTGATCTTCATGTATTCAGAATTATGAGCCTAGCCTTTGAACATTATCATGGAATTTCACGATCTCAATCAACTTCTTAGTTTACTTAAAAAAATAATTAAATGCTTTAATTAACCACTTTGAGCCCTACTGAACAATTCTAATCTTCCATAACTATGACCTCCTTCTGAATAGAATATTTCTCTCCTTAACTCAAAATTATTGCTCCAACTGGACAAGTTCTGACTGAAATGCTCCACCACCTCATTGATTTTGTATACATTTACTATGAGTCGCATTAGTTCTTCTTCTCTAATTCCTTTCTAACTACTGTTTTGTTTGGTTTAACACAGCGAAACTTATAGATCATCTTATAGGTCTACAAATTTGACAGATCATGTGAAGGACAAGAAAGAATCCCTTGGCCTGGCACTGAATGGAGACCATCTTGTTTCAGCTCCTTATAAACTCGACTTCCTTGTGGGCAAACAATGTCAAGTTTTGTGCAGAAAAAATTTGACAAAAGAAGATATTTTTCGGTTTCAAACTGCTATTGCAGAAGAGTATGTTTACCAAATGTACCGTGATGACTTTCCCCTTTGGGCTTTCGTAGGGATTGTTAATCGTGACAGACAGCAATTTCTAATCACCCACATCCAATTTAAAATATATTATAATGGGGATCGTGTGATTGAGATCAGAACCCAACCAGACCTATCACATATGGTTGAATTAACAGAGGAAAAGGACATTGATGTAGAATTTGAGTTCTTATATTCGGTGGAGTGGAAAGAAACAGCTACACTGTTTGAAAAGAGAATGGAGAAATACAAGAAGCCTGCCGATTTTGTCCATTGGTTGTCAATTATGATCTCATTCATCTTGACGATTTATCTGGTGTCATTAGGTGGTCGAATGCTTCGAAGAGAGTTTTCTAAGTAAGAAATAAATAATTCTTTGTTGCTTAGAAGAGTAGTATTTTTTTTTCTATCTTTACACTCACTTGCCTTGAATCTTGTTAAGAGATGCAAATGATCAGGAAACAGGTCAAGTAGAGACAGGGTGGAAGATCCTCGGAGGTGATGTGTTTCGACGCCAGCCAAAAATACAAGTCTTTTTTTTCTGCAGCTCTTGGTTCTGGAATTCAGTTGCTCACAATGTTAGTACCTCCTGAGATGCATCTGATAAACTCAGATAAACCTTTCAAATCTTACCAAAGTTTTAATGTCTCCTTATAGTAATTTCTTCTATGTTCTGGCAATGGGGCATCCATTATAACGTTAGGCCTTTTTGGCGTATTCCATCCATATGATCAAGGAGTTATCTGGTATGCATCTATCCTTACATGTGCAGCGCAACGGATCTTCTGTCCCACACTCTATGCCACTCTCCGTCCCACCTTTTATTATATTACTATTTCTCCTACATAAATATCATGTTTTAGTTCTTTTTTGTTTCCTTGAGATCCAATAACTATTAATTGAGTAAAAAATAAATACAGCAACTTAAAAAAAGCAATATATAATAGAAAATTAAAAAATATAGCAGAAAATTCATAAAAAATCTCATTTTTTATGCATTTTAATTTTTTTAGTTTGTTAAATTTTGTGTATTACCATCTGTGGGTATGACCATCGCTCGACTTCTTGGAAATCATGAATGGTGGTGGAGGTAAGTTATGTTTTGTATAACTAAACTTTGGTTAGTGGACACAATCTTTTAAAAGTGATAATTAGTCCTAATTGTTATTGCTGTCAAACTAAACTATTTACCTTAAGTTTGCTAAAATGATAATATGCTGTTCATATTTCACAATCAGTCAGCTTGGAACTTTGTAGCCTTATATCACAATGCAAAGCTCCATCTGCATTATCCTGCAATATACTGACTGACAATTATCTTTTCTTGTCTTCAGATTGCTACATTTTCATCTCTACCTCTTAATCTTTTAGTGGTAACAGTAATTGGTTTGGGTTTCTCGGCTGATGGCTTATGAGCTAATTGGATTCACTTTTTTCGTCCTAGAGATTCTGATGCTGATTTTCTTCCTCAATATTTTGCTTACGACTTAACATTTCATTCTGCGAATTGGGATGTTCACTCAGTGACTAGAATTAACACATAAAAAGCTAACTATGTTATAAAGCTACTGAAACCAACATTTTGAAACCAACTAATGACCTGACACAGCATATTTTTGTGCAATGCAATGTGATTCTGCTCCAATTGTCTGTCTTCTGTCAAATTTACTCACTTTTCAGTACAGTTATATTCATGTCTATCGCTGTCTCCGGACTGCTTTGTTCTTTACTTCCTTTAACTATTCATTCTACAAAGACTTGATCCCTAATCTTGTCAGCTGCCATCAGATGGCTGCTACTTGAGTTTTCTTATTATACCTTTTGCACCTTAATTGTGGCCTAGCACTGACCTAATTTTTTTTTAAAAAAATTTGAACAGGTCCTTTCTCTATGGTGGTTCAGTTGGCATTTATGTCTATGGATTCTCCCTCTACTATTACTTCCAAGATTCAGAAATGAGTGGTTTCCTGCAAACCTCATTTTTCTTTGGCTACATGGCCTGCATCTGTTATGGCCTTTTTCTCATGTTAGGCACAGTCGGTTTCTATGCTTCCTTATGTTTTGTTCGATATGTATATGGTTCTATCATAAAGAAGACCTAGCTACTTAATTGTCTTGTATATTTTGTCAATGTATTTTCCTATGGCAATCTGTTTGCTTAGACATAGAACTCGGCTAAGAAGTTGTTTAGGAATGAAGAAGAGGTAATTTTTTGCTAAGAAGAAAAAGGAAAGGCAGTTGTATGGAAAAAGAGTTCAGTAATGATTGGGCAAAATAAGAATAACTTGCCAGATGATTTTGATACATTTCTCATTAGCTCTCTTTCTTTCTTTCTTTCTTTCTTTCTTTTTTGGGTACTTTGTTTTTCGGGCTAACAAGTTGCTTTTCCAAGATTACTACATGAAACCAGTTTTGCCCAAAAAAAGCCATCAACTTGAGTTTTCTTTTCCTACAATCTGGTTGAAAAGGTAATAAAAGTTGGTAGAAAGCAACTAAAACCATTCCTGACAAACTTTTGGCTAGATTTTGACTTAGCTTCCAATTGATGATTTGTTAACATGAACCTCCCTGAATTATCAACAAATGAGCATGAGTTTGAGTCTACACTGAAGAATTAACTCTGGAAATATTGAAATGGATGCAGGAAATGATACATTTCTTCTGGAAATAACTCTGACAATTCAAAGTGACTCTTATCCACTTGCTATATTTTCACTGATCTTCTAAGACAAGAACTTGAAACCTCTCTCTGTAACATTTAACTACAGACAGACATGACAAAGCAAAGATCGATCAGAAGCTTAACAGGACAAGAACAGCTACTCAAACTTGATAGAACTATATATATGACGAACAAAAATTAGAGAGGCGCGGAATCCCACAGTGCCTAGCAGGAGAAAGAGGCCAAAGCAGCTGCAAGTCATGTAGCCGAAGAAGAATGAGGTCTGTAAGAAACCGCTCATTTCTGATTGAAAGTAGAAGAAGAAGCAATAGGCGTAGACATACAAGCCAGTTGAGCCACCACAAAGAAAGGACCTGCTCAAGTTGAAGCATAGGGGATCAGTTAATAATAATAAGTCTCTAAAAAGCTAATTTGAAAGTACCATCTGAACGATAATCAGCGTTATCACAAGAGTTCTTAAGGAATAATGTCTTTTTCAGCTCAAAGTTATTAAAAAGCCATCAACCAGTTTGCCAAAGTCCAGAAAACATAGTGGATTTTACTAGGCTTGTAAGGAATGATGCCCACATCATCTATGAAGACAATGGGAGAATGTTTGTGCATTCATTGTCTAGCAGGTTTGAATGAGAAACTCAAATATTGTCGCGCAGATTGAAAGTTGTCCAGATGGTTAAAAAATCATACATATAAAAACCTTGTACTGAGAAATTGCTGTCAGATCAGAACAACGTTTAATAACACAAACATTATTTGCACTCTTCAAATGCAGGGAAAAGTTAACCGTTGCCTCTTTTTCCTTTGATCTTTTTCCCTTTCGAGGTGTTTTCTAGACACTACCAAGACCTCAAACTTTGACAGTGACAAGAAAGCTAAAGAATTTCTCTTTAAAGAGAATACAATGCAAAAACTCTATTACGTTAAAAACTACAGACTTACCTCCACCACCATTGATGGTCTTCGGCAGCAAGCTGAAGGTATGTCAAACCAATTGACACAAGAGCCGTGATAGTTACAAGGAAAATGAAAAAGACACAAAGTACTCCATACGTTGTGAACACTTTTAAGCCCCAAATACTTGCAAAGATGGGATATAGCTCAATATAGAAAACACTAAATGGAAGAAATCCAGCAATTGCCATTTGAGGAAGAGCAGCCCTGTACCAATGCAGTGGTGGTATTTCTCTAGGACACTTTGTGGATCTGCAAGGAGCTTGAAACTCAGACTTTGTCATTTTCCCAAGAGTCCCACCCAACAAAAGCAATGGCAAAGCTATGAAAACCCATATAAGAAGAATCTTCACAATATTGCCCATGGAAATCTCTGCTGTGGACTCGTAGATACCAGCAACAGTGTTTAGCATACAAAATGTAAGAAAAAGAGGACCACAGAATAGAGAGCCTGCTAGAAATAGATTCTTCGCCTGTAAGAAAAAAATTAGTGTATATAATTAGGCTCATTGAAAGTAATATATTCTCAAGGCATTATCAAGTATCAACTGAGGATATAAACCACCAGCACTTACTGAGTTACTTCCTTCAAGTTGATGATAGAAAGAAACAGCAGTGAATCCAGCAATGACATTAGTTATTGCATAAATGATGACCGATGCAACCTTCTGAACTCCATGGTCATATGGATGAAATACGCCAGCAACCCCCAATATGATAATGGACAGCACACTGCAATATGCACAAGATACCATCAGAAATAACCCCAAGATTACTCAACATGTCATATCTCATAATTTTTGGATATTGCCGTCTCAGTTTTACTAACACTGCAAATAACTGTGTTCCACAACCAATAGCTGCAGCTAAGCAACAGTTATATTTTGGGTAGCGGAACACATCGCTATGGATGATCTTCCATCCTGTGTGTCCTTGATTATCAGCCAATTCCTCATCATTTTCATACCTTAGGTAACACAGAAAATGTTAACAGAAAGAAAGAATTTGTTGCACTACAAAATAAAGAAGGCACAAGCCTGACTATCTCAGATTTGATTTCTTACTCATTAAAATCTTTCCTGAGGACTCGCACGTATAATGCAACCAGACAACCAACTAAGAGGATAATCGTCCAAAATGAATTTGTGATTGCAAACTGATGTTTTTTCATGTTCAGTGGAAAATGTGCAAACATTGTGTACTTCTGCATTCTTGTATCAAAAGGCAGGTCCGTTTCTTTCCAATTTACACTGTACAAGAACTCAATATCAATAACCTTGTCCTCTGTTAAGTCAGCCCTGTTTGATGAGTCAGTTAGCAGGTTGATTTCAATCACACGATCTCCGCTGTAGAAAATATCAAAGTGGACTTTTGTGAAGAGATAATAGTTAAACGTGTCCACATCGTTTGTCTGAGCCGCCCCAATGAATTGCCAAATTGGCAAGTCATCATAATACATTTGTAAGTAGTAGTCCTTAGACACAGCAGTTCGGAACAGTGCAACCTCTTTCCTGGTCAGGTTTCTTCTACAAACAACATGAGATTCCCTATCTAACCTGAAATTCAGATTATATGGAGCAGAAACAAGATGATCTCCATTCAACACCTCCCCAAGAGATTCCTCCTTCTCTTGCCAGAGATCTGCAATATTTCAACTCTAAAATCTTTCAACGTGAATGAAGTTATAAAGTGATAGAAGATATGAAGATTATATAATGCACAGGACAGTAGGATGATAAATAATGCACAAGACAAACCTGGTGGACAGAACGGAAAATCGTAATACGGATAAGTTTCACTGAAATGAACCACAAGCAAAAGGCAACCAGAAACTAAGAATTAGGAACACCAAATTTATTGACTTGCCACTAAGTATTTAGGAAACTAAAAGATGCTCTGATTGCTAGTAAAAATCAAATTTGGAGCAAGATACCAAGAGAAATCATATGCAGCACACATTCAGAACAGGATGTTGATAGATCATGCTGACAGGGACAAACTCTGAAGGTATGAAGACTAGATTTGGTATCTGATCCAGATTAAGCATTATTTGGTTAACCAGAAATAGCTTACAGTGACAAATGAGAAAAAGGAAAAAGAAATTAAGCACATGAAATATATGAAACCAACTAGGAAAACATCCTATTTTCATCAGGATGTTACAAAAGATTAAATAAGTGACTTTGCATGTAACCATGGCATGAATCTTGGCTACATGTAAATATCAAGCAAATTTAAAAGTTTTCATCAATAATTGTTTTCAAAATTTCCATTACCCAAGCAGAGAATATTAATGATCTGCAATCAACATAAAAGAATGTTTACCTAGGATTGTGATATGGACCAACTTTGTTGACATACAGAGGCACTGGATCGCCTTTATTATATTTGTGGTCAAAGGCATCTGATGTCACTTGGCTAAGAATTCCAATCATAACAAGACTCATCAGAAAACATTCAGCAGAGTTTGCCATTCTCCTGTTCCTTTCTGCAAAAAGAAAAAGAGCTAACAGAAATATCAAGTCGGGATTCCCAAAGGGAGTATAGAAAAAAGTATCAATGCAGAAAACATTTTACTTACAACACATATAGAGGCAGTTGCAGTGCCTTTCCTCGGTATTTTGACCAAATGGATAATTCTCCCCAATCCTTTCCTTGAATAGCTAAAAACATGTTTGTTACGGATAACACTGGTCACCACTCACATCATGTATTAATCTCATTGATGTAGTTGCTTTTGATCCAAAAGCAGTGGCAGCACAGATGTTAATAAAAGAAGCTGCAAACCAGGTCAGGAACATAATGAAGATAACAATGGAGAAATTGATTTTGGGCAGGTTAAGGACCAAGCTAAGTGCCTAAAAGCTTCAAGGCACTGCTGGTGGCTTATGCAGATGGCAATGTTATAAAGAGAAAGCATGGAGGGAAAGGGAGAAAAACATCTTTAAGCTATAAAAATTACTTACAATGAGAAGTAATGTTGCTGCTCTATTCCCGACTGCAGAAGATGTTAGATCTCAAAGGAGCTAAAATGCTGAGCTAACAAATATGGAATAGGACAGTGATAGAACCGATTCAATGCATTCTTTCATTTAATACAAGCAGCAAGGAAGGCATTCATCATTCCCCCTAGAAGTTGGATCAAACGAGGCAGACTAGGAGTATCAAATTTCTGTTGCACCCACATTTTTTGGTATATTAGCACCCTTTTGTTATGTGAAAAATGCCATTGTCAAAGTTATCAAGCAATTTGAAGAGCAAAGATTCTCAATACCTCATCTAAACTGAACACTAGCTGGTAGACAAAATGATTCTACAGCTTTAACTCCTTCTCTTAATAGCTAATGAAACTGAATCTGCCAACTCTTTTCTACCCTGCAATTGAACCTAAGCTAAATGCCAGTGTAATTTCCATACAACTCCCTTTACATTTATAAGTCAACAATCAAGACAACTATTGCATTTCCAATCCTAAGTTTTTGAATGGAAAAAGAGGACAGTCACTTGAACTAGAGTTTCCCAAATCTAATTTCAATTATGAAAATTGAGTAGTTGAAATTATCCCAGTGCCAATATACACTATACAGTCATAAATACAAAACATAGACTGCATAAGCACTGCAGTTGAGATCTTCATACATCAAACTCGCTTCTGTGACCATACTAGATAAACAATATATCAAAAAGAAAAACTCAAAAGCAGGTTCTAATGACAGAAATCAACGATCTTAATTGCAGACCATAAAGGAAAAAAGGAACTAAACAATGACCTGCCACAAACTGAATGACAGTTCTTGACTAAAAGATTTATGTTGTGCCTGTACGATTTCTCTGTACAACTACTAAAGCGTAGGAATGAATTAAACAAGTCCAATCCAAATAGAAAATCATGATAAACAAGAATCATAAAGTTCAAGAAAACAAGCAAAGCAGACAAACAAGAGATTAACATGCTCCCGAAAAGCTTAAAACTTAAAAGAACAACAAGCAAAGGAGTTTTCGTTGCATTTAATATAGCAAGTTAGCAGCAACAAAGAAGTCAAGAATTCTTACAGGAAGAGCAATGGAAGCCTTCGCCCACCTCAACAAATACTTCAGAGGAGACTGTAAAAGAGAGACAGTTGGCGCTTTGACTGCTAAGGCAAGGCAGATTATGGGAGGAAAGAAATAAAAAAACTAGTACTAAAGTGTTGACTGTTCTGCCAATGGTGTGACTTTTGGGAGTGAAGACTTCTGCAGTTGACTTTGACGAGAAAACTAGACTTTGGACTTAGGGATAAAAATTCAGGAAAGAGTGCAGGTCGGGTATGTTCTCTACAAGCCCGGATTAGTAATATTGCAAAGTAAAATTAGAAAAATGATGTTTAGTTCGAAATCCGATAGGTAAACACCAATCCATAAAGATAAGAAGCTTTGTAGAGTTCTATATATATATATATATATATATATATATATATATATATATATATATATATATAACAGAAATATATTTAGAGTAGTTTTTAGTAATTTACATGTTATTAGTTAAAAACTTGATCAATTCTATTTTTGTTGTCAGGATTCTATATCACTACTCGCAAAGATAATAGTTAAAAAAAGGCTTTTTCTTAATTCAATGCCGAATAATTTTATTACGGCACACTAACTATGGCAAGTCTAATAGTTGGTCTTTGGCTAATGAAATAGTCAATTAATTAAATAAAAAAAACTCACAATCTTATTTTAATTGTATTTAATGTAGAATTAGTTGAATATTAGTTTCGATTCAATTGGTCTCATTTATACCCCTACTTCAGTTAAAACACAGAATAGTACTAGTAAAAAGCAATACAAAAAAGAAAGTTTTTCTAAACTCCATTAATGCACTTTCACTCATCAACTATCTCCCAAACTATAATATCATTGTGGTTTAAAGAATTGACCTCCCCCGAATTTTATCATTTGCTATAATTATTTTTGCCTTTGATAATACGCCCTCCCGAAACTAAAATCCTTGTTTCGCCTATGCTCCAATAGAAGAAAAGGTTAAATTTTAAAAAAAATAATAAAAATAGACAGATAATTAACTTAAGGTAAAGTTTTCAAAAACAGGAAAAAGAATAAAAACTGATATTTTCTTTTTTCGCAGTTGAACAAAACCAGCAGATTTAGGTAGAAAATTACGAGGAGAAGGAGAGCTTATCTCCTTCAGCTGTGTCCAAATGATAAAACATCCAATTTCACCTGACCAACAACAAAATGGCTTCATTCCAGTAAGTTAGTTCTACATCATTGTATTATCACCATGGTTCGAAGTCTCGGCCGAGACCGAGACGACTCGGCCGAGTCGTCACCGTCTCGTCCCCTACCGATACGATACCGTGACGAAACGATACCGAAATACTTGACTCGCCGAGAAATCGGCCGAGTCGTCACCGCGACGGATTGACTCGGCCGAGTCACACCGAGTCACTCCGAGTTATCCCGAGTCAAGACGAGAAATCAGCCGAGTCACACCGCGACGGATTGACTTGGTCATTTCTTTTGTTATTTTTTAATTATTTTTATTTAGCATACTTTTTTATATTATTAACAATTTTTAGAATATTAAATACTTTAAAATTGGCGTCTCACCGAGACCGCGACCGATATTTCGAGACCGATGTGGAACGTTCCAAGCCGCGACCGCGACCGCGACCGTGACTTTGAACCATGATTATCACAAAAATCATTAAGCCCCGAATATGATTCATGAAACCATCTACGCTGCAACTTCAATTCCCATGGACTAATTTCCTAGGAACTGATGCTCGATCAAGCTGCCAACAGCCAGCTAAAGAGCCTCCATTCTTTGAGGTGAGCTGAAAAGCAGGAATTTGATGAGAAAATCCGGCTAACTCGTTCTTCTGTCCATTGTTTCAAATCAATACCTGATCTCTGCCCTCTGGGAGATCTAAAAAGTGATTTGCTGTAAGAGCCTCCTAATGCCTCCCATGACACGGATTCATTATCATTCTGATGATGCGTGTAATGTTGCTAAAAAGGATAAATGGTGAGCCTTTTTTGAGGTATCACATATTTATTTAATAGTTACATAATTAGTTTTTAGAAAATAACAATATATTATTTTTAAGAGATAGAAAAAGATATGTTGTTCAAACTCAAAAATTAATAATATTATTTTTTAGAAAATAAAAAATCCAAAAGGTAAAAAATTTAATGAAAGTTAATAATTTATTTTTTAAAAATAACAAAATTATTTTTAAAAAATTACTTAATTTATTTATGGGATATGAGTTGTGCATTATTAAAAAAAATGTTTGGTTTGATTGTAGACACATGCTATTATAGCGTATGGAATGTAATCCATTGTGAGTAAGAATATAATAAAAGAGGAGATAGTGAAATGCTGATGTGGCATGTGGATTACACTCTACACTGTGGATGCCCTAAGGCTTCAGAGGTACCAAAGGTGAAACCTTAGTGTGACCATCAGTGCAGTCTATGATTTCTACCACATGACATTCACAATTTTGCAGCTCAGATAATGAAGATTCAGCATCCCATTTTCCGTACAGAGCCCAAACCTCTCCCACCTTGGGAAAAATTTCAACCCTGCTCTTACCATTGACGTCTGCCTTCAACAAAAGTGAAAAGGAACAGGTTTCCAAGGGTTGAAGTTTTACACTTTTCACTACAAATGCTCCACAAGCTGGCTGTGTGGCATTTTTAGGCACCAAGGAAGATTCAAGTGGTGCAACGTACAACGTGAAAGGGGAACGTCCAATTTTCTTAATCTGACCATGCATTTTAGGCAATTTATGCTCTGGCGAGTGGAGTGCCCATATCTGACCCTGTTTAAACTTCCCCTCAGATCTTTCCTCCTTGAAGTCATGAAAATCTTCTGAAACTTTGCCACTCGGAGACAGATTGATGGATGCTATTGCTTTTGCAAGGACTTAATTCCTGCATTTGTACATCTAATTGCTTGTCAGATTTAGAAACACTTTCATGACTGATGTCTTTTTTCTTTGTAGTTCAAACTTTTCTTGAAATCTTTCTATGTTAGAAGCAACTTGTCTATTATGGAGCTCACAACAATGATTTCATCTATATGCATATTGTATTAAGTTTAACGGTTCAAAAATTTCTCAAATTGCTGCAAATTGTGCTATAATAAGTCTCGTGATATAAGCTCAGAGTTCTCCGCTAAAAGGGTTGCACAAGGTCGTTTGGAAGAAGAATTTTATGGACCGAATTTTCCAACTTATGTTTTCTATTAGTTAATGTCATTAGCTTAATCCATATTATGTGGGCTAGATTTTAAGTGGGCTTGTGTTAGTAGCTAGATAAATGGTCCAGCCCTAATGCTTGGATCCGTGAGTTTAAGTTAGGTTATGGGTCGGCTTTCAAGATCCTTTAGTTGTGTCTTTTGGTTAGTCTGGTTACTTTGGTTATTGTTGTGTCAAGACTCATTAAAGTATCGCTACTTTCTTTGTCGGAGGGAAACTATGACATTTTACAGAAATTTCTCTCTAGACTCTACGAGCTTTTCTTGAACACCCTAATGTAGCACCTTCTAACGTTCCTAGGGTTCGCTAATTCATAGGATTGTACGTCGAGATTGTATTAAAATTCCAATCACGGGGATTAGAGAGGTCTGAGTAGGAAAATTCCTTCAATTCCAAGCTTGTGATTATCAGCATTAATCCGGGGTTCGTTGTCGCGAATCTCATCATCAATGGGATTCGTATCATCTTGCATCTATCATTTTATAATTATTAAAAAGAGGAAATAAGGAACTTCTTAATTATAGTATCCTCTTGCATGTATTTGGATTCCAGTTGTCCCAAAATTCATTTATAGCTAATACCGTGTGGTAAACATCAAAAAGTTCATTACCCATTTCATTAAGGATGTGGCCTCTACAACTTTAATAATCACTATCCCTTTCTGCTTCTCTTTAGTTTCTTTAAGATTTTTTTTCGTCTCCTTATGTGCTAAATTTTGGTATTGTCAAGACGTGTTGGTATATTAAATCAATGCTCAAAATTAGAAATTTTTATATTATTATTTAGTAGTATTTTAGTCAAGTTAGGGTTTTAATAATTTTACTTAATTCAAGTTATGGTAGTTTTATTGTTTAGAAATTAATATCTTATTAGGAAATTTCTTATGGTTGTAAGATTTGTTTATCAAGTCATCTAGTCTATAAATAGGAAGTCATATTATTGTATTAGTTGAGAAAAGTAAAGGATTAAGAGTATTGTTCTGATAATGTGATTAATAGATTATTATTGGTATTATTTCTTTTCTCCCACACATATTATTATATGTGTAATTACTTCCCCATATACATTGATTTCACGAAATTTATCTTCTGTGGCTTTTCGGTAGAAATTTTTGAGTTCGACAACATGTACAACCTTAACCCTTTTTGTCAATGTATGAAGTTTCCTCCATCTCCATACTCAAGATGTTGGTTGCCAACTCTTTCAAAAAAACTAGCCATGTTCAAGTTCTTCAAATGTAGTTTTAAGATTGCTGGAAGATAGAATAAAGGGAAATTTTTTAATATGTGTGCAAGTAGAAGAAAATTACAACCGAGTCATGTATTATATATACTTTTTTTAAGGCTATATTTATCACTTAACTAATGCAATATAAGGACAAATATCCTTGAGGATAAAATAGAGTGGTAATGCTTAAAAGAACTTGCACCTGTTTCTTAAACCTTAGAACAAAAAATCAGTGCACTTTTACAATATCAACTACGGATAATTTTAGAAACCTCAACGCACTGCACTCTCTTAAGGTTTCTAAAATATCAGACACCTCCCCTAAAATTAAGTAGGTGATAACAAATCTGGTCCAATTCAAAAACGCAAATAATATAAAAGTAGTATCAGGAGAGAGAAAACAAAAGGTTCCACGACTGCCCTCTAGTGTTACATTTGTGAGTTAATTATATATGAATAGTACATAGCTATTTGAGCACTAAATAAAGTGGAGGGGGTGTAAGTAGAACTTATAGCAAAGGCAAGATTTCAACAAAAGTTTAGAAAATTGGAAACCAACGACTCTTTTTGCGGCCATTTCTAATGTCTATCTGTAACAGTAATTGCATGAGACTCTATATAACAACAAAATCAAGCAGCAAGAGAGAACAATTTAAGAGTCTGGTATTGGATGAGCTGAAGCAACACGTTTCTATGAATGAAATGAGCAGCTGCAACAATTAGGAACACACACAGATGACTTGTTCAAGCGATAGAGGAGAAAGTTGAAATTCACCAACATCATTTACAATTAGAAACTGATATTGCAACTTAAGCTAAACCTATTGGGGCCCTTTTTGTGATGACATATTAGAAATTAATTTAACTTCCAAATAGTAGTTAATTTAGTTAAGCCTATGTACTGATGCTTTAATTAATTCTGTCAACATAATTACAAAATATGTGATAAGTTGTGAGGGTAATTAAGTCATTTCAGTATGTAAAGTGTAAGATTTGGGCCCCAACAACCTAATAGGGGAGGTGTCCGATATTTCAGAAAGCTCAGGGGAAGGGCAATGAAACTGTCCGAAAACTCAGGGGAGGTTTTTAAAATTACCCCTATAAACTAAGTATAAATTAATAATTTTTGTAGGAAATTAAGACCCATTTGATCTTTATATAGAGATGGAAAACTTTGTTATTGAAGAACTGCGATACTTTTTGGTGGTTAGTAACTTGGGCTGCATTTGGCGCCCATGTTTTCAGGGGTATTTTTATTGTACAAAATTTTTAATAACTTATCTATAATAACCTCTAAAAACACATAAAATTTTTAAAATGCAAAACCAAAACATCTACAAACACACATCTGTTTTGCCTCTTTTATCACCACTCTTCCACCTCAGTCCACCACTACTACCGCCACCTCGTCGTCGCCGTCGTCTCCCTTCTTCTTTCTCTCTCGCTCTCCTTCCTTTATCTCGTTCTCCTCTCTCTTCCCATCTCCCCTCCCATGACCTTTGGTTGCGCGACTAGAGGTTGCATGGGAAGGGGATGGGGTGGGGTGAGGGAGAGGGTGAGGCGGGGGAAAAGGGTGGTGGAGGGGGAAAGGGAGGCGGTAGCGGCTGGCAGTGGTAGGAGGAGTGGTGGTGGCAAGGAGGAAGAAAAAGAGAGGATTGAAAGGGAAAAAAGTCTCTAAATTATCACTTTATCTAACCTGCTAAAGAATCAAGTAATTGCAGACTCGGTCCTTGAATTTCTGAATCGACTAGGATTGGGTCTGTTTTTCATATTTTCCAACCCCTAGATAACATTGTTTGGGAGTTTAATGCATTAAATATCTTTTGAGAATTTTGTTAATAACAAAATTAAAATATTATATACAGTCACCATAAGTAATGTGTATCATCCCTCTTTCCAGGCATGGAGTAGATAAATTAAATCAAAAAATAAACTTTTCTTTAAGAATGAAATCTTTTTTCAACTATTCATCCTTTGGAAGCATGTCTAGACACACATGTTAAATTAATATAAACAAATTGATAGTTAAGAGACAAACAACGATAAGAATTAATTCCACATATGAAATTTTAGTCACTAAGTTAACCAGAAGATGAAACAAACTGAATTATAACACCATAAGGCCCTTAATAGATGCAATTGTCATCCCCATGTAAGAATTGTCACAAAACCTTGATATTCAATTAGTTGAATTATCATGTGGCTATTGATAAGCATTTTGATTAAGATAACAACACGTGAATTCCATTTTGTTTTGTTTTGTTTTTCTAATAAAGTCTCTTCTAAATTTTCTTAGTGAGAGTTTTCTACTTCTCCTAGGGATTCGTAGTGAGAATTTTCTATTCTTCTAAGGATTTTTATGGAGATTTTTGTGTTTTTTTTTTCTTTTTTTGTTGTTAGATTTGAATTTATTTCAGATTTGATTGTCAAATTTGAAATTTTGTTGGATCTTAAATCTATTTTGACATATTTCATCATCATTATTGGATCTTAAAATTGTTGATTAGTGGATCTAGCAATTGCAATATGACAAATGGGAGCAGCAACAATTTATCTATTAGAAAACAATTTTGAAATTTTTTGTACTTTTTAGATCTGCTCGTAATTTTTTGAATCTATTGTATCTGTTAAATTGTACATATGTGATTTATAGTGCATGTTTAACTTGCCTTGATGTAGATCAACTTGTGCTAGACAATTTCTAACAATTTATTAATAAAATTTGACATTACCAAAAAAAATATCAATACATAAATAAAATTAAAAAAAATAAAAGTTCAAGGATAATTTTTTCCCCTTCTCTTTCATAGCAAGGGGCATATCATGGTTTTGGATCAGTCCCAAAACTAGCCACTTAATTTTTCAATGTAGAAGTTAAGATCTCTTTTATCATTTCACCGTTAAGCTGTGCAACCGAGTCATTGATGTCTTGCTAATTTTTCAATCATATGAAATTACAAGAAGAAATTTCTTCAAACTAAATACAGCAGATCAAACTATACCTGGTAATTGAGCGGATTGGACGTTTTTTTGGGTTAATTGATATTGAATTTTCACTTAAATGAATTATACCCAACCTGCCTAACTTTAGATTAGGTTGATTTTAGATTAGGTTATATTGGGTCATCTCAAACCCATGACCCAACATCCTTATACTATATAAGAATAAGTTGTGATCAAAGAGAATTTGAATTTTAACCGCATGGATAGGAGCTTTTTGGGAATGTGGAATGTTGTGTTATTTTTTTAAGGGTTATTATCACTTTACCCCCTTAACGTTTGGTGCTACTATCAATTTCGTCCTTAACATTATCTTTTAATCACTTTACCCCCAAAACTAACGGTCAAACTTAACGGAGTTTGTTAATTAAAGTGAAAAGACATATTTAACCCTTAAAATTATTATCACTTTACCTCCATAAAATATAGTCTCATTATCAATTTACCCCCTATAGTTATTTTTTAGACAATTTGTCCTACCATTAAACCAACTTAGCAGGTTAAAAAACTTTAGAAGAAAATACACTCCTCTTTGCATAATAAAAATAATAAAAAATTTAGAGTGACTCTTCTCCTTTTTAGTATCAAGAAAAAAGTCAAAATATTAATTTTTTTCTTCTTGGCAATCTTATTAATATTGAAAAAAATAGAAAGATGGACAGGGGTAGGGGGAGGGGGAGGGGGAGAGGGAGAGAGAGAGAGCTCAATTCTTTTTTTAAAAATTACAAATAAGAAAGAATTAAATACTTTTATTATTTTAAAATTATTTCACTTTTTTGTTTACCACCAAATTCCAATCCTAATCTCGACAACTTTAAAATAATATGATAATATTAGACTTTTCTTTTTTTTTTTGCAAAATTTAATTTTTGTCTCCTTCTTTCCTATCTCTTTTCTTTTCCTAGTATTAATAAATGTGAAAAAAAAAGAAATTTGAGAAAATTCTTTTATTTTTATGTTTTTCGATCTCTTAAAGTGAAAAAAGGAAGAATAATCATTCCAACTTGTTTTTTTAATTATATATAAAAAAGGATAAATATATTTAAAATTTTTTGACCATACTAGTTAGATTAACAACGAGATCAAATGCTTAGAAAATAATGTTAGGAACTAAACTGATTGTATTACTATAATCTAAACGAATAAAGTGATAATAACAATGTAGCAATGCTATAAAATAAAAGGGTATTTTTGTCCAAAATTTCTTAATATGTTGAGTTGAATTACTCATGGAGGTAAAGTGGTTAAAAGATAACGTTAGGGGGTAAACTAATAGTAGTGATATAGTTTAAGGGGATAAAATGATAATAACCCTTTTTTTAAAGTTTTCGGTACAACTGAGGGCGACATGTGTTTAGATATATTTATCGAAATGCCCTATTTTGGAGATATTTAGGTATTTATTATTTGGGAATCCAAAATTTGAGTACTTTGGGTTTGGGATACAGATAACTGAGATAAGCATTAAACATATAAATTATTTGAATTTGATATCATCAATTCTGTTGGGCCTACTTTAGGTTGACTTCTAACGTAGCCCAAGTCCAAGCCATTCTTAATTGTGCACTTAACATTAAGCCCTATCAATCATTTATTTCTGACATCACAGAACAAATAGTGTGGTTCAAAACGAAATGTTTTCACATCTGTGATATATGTGAGGAACGGTTGGTACAGTTCTCCCTTTTGAAAATCACCTGCGCGTGCAAAACTGAGATCCTACCATCTTGAATTGGGCCAAAATTTCCTAATGGGTGAGATCGCATTAATTGCAGTGTCCCAGACGACCTTGGCGGGGTCATGATAATGCAAATGAGAATAATAGAAAATAAAAAAAGTAAATAGAAGATTGGGTATAATGGCAAGAAAATGATAAAAAAAAAAGGGATCTAAAATAAGAAAATGCATGAAAATATCATGAACACAGGTGATGGATGAAACTTGCGCAAAAAGTGCCTAATCGACTAGCGTTGGATTTTTCTCTTCTAAACTACATTGCTAGCGTTGGACTAGCAGGAAAAACAAGAAGTGTCCACAACTAGCGTTTATCTAATTTTGGAGGCACATGACATGCATCTTTGCATTGGATAAGAGCATAGACGAGAATGAGAGAAGGTAAAACAAAATTCCAAAATTTGTTTAAGCAAACAATTGAAACTTTGGTTTGACATAGAATTCACAGCTGTAGAAAGAGGGCTAATCCTCAGATTACGTATTGAGATGCAAAACAAAAAAGAAAAACACTGAATACTCGAAGCTTAAATACACGAAAACACACAACAAAACTACTATTGCTTCTCGAGGCACTCTGGACAACAACAGCAGCAACCACTCTGATAGTCGTAGGCCTACCATATTGAAAGATAACAAAGTACCAAAGTTAACAAATTTTCTCTAGTGAAGTGCCTATTTAAAAAAAAAAAAAAATTAAAGTTCAAGATTTATAACTGTCTAGTCTGAAATACACAAATTGTCAAATCTTTACTCCTGGCAGTGGTGGAGGAGGTAGAAAACTAATCTAGTATGGAACTGTTCTAAAGCATATAAAACTACTGATGGAAAATTAGATCAATGAGCAATATAAGCAATCTAAATTGCTCGACATAGAATATTTACTGCATTCAAATGCTAATGGTAAAATAATTATTCCACATGCTATTATCTTTATAATCAGGTGTAAATAAAAAAATTCAATAAAATTCATAATATGGAATTTAATGAAACATAGGAAAACAAAATGTAAATATGAATAATAGAAGAGAATTATTAGAATTCAAAATTTTGAGAGAGTTGAACCGATTGCCATTAGAAAGTAAGAACGTAGGTAAAGCAAATAAGGTTTTGTTGGGAAAAAAAATTTCTTTGAAAGCTAGCACTTTGACGTTAGAATCTTGTTGGTAAGCTATTCGGTATCAGGCATCTACTACTTTATACTCCTATCTATTAAAATTGGTATGTTATTCTTTTGTTGATTTAACTTATTAAGATTCTTTGTTTGAAAAAAAAAACTTATTTGAGCTATAATTTTCTTGTATTGGACAAACGCATAAAACAAATCTTTAGAAATATTTAGAAAAAAAATTACATATTACAATAGGTTGCAAATTATGAATGTTAAGTTCTGATTAGTTCTCTACTATCAGCATATAAAAGTAAAAAGAATAAGTTAGATGAGGAATGTCTACAAAAATGTGAATTTTTCAAAGAGCAAATTATCAAAGATAGTATGCTATGGATGTTGTGGCTCCTTAGGGTGTGATATGAAAAACAGAGTATAAGTGCTTTTATAGGAACTTACTCAATGGAAATTCCTCCTCAGGCGAGTAGTCTTTACCCAGATTTTGTCACAGGCACTTTCTATATACTTGAAGTATGCATAGCGCCATGATTTCTTGAAGAGAAGGATTCCCAAAACTCCCAAGAGCCCGACGGCAAAACCCGGTCCTGTACCAGCATAAAACCAAGACCAATCAGACTCACTGTGGCCTTCATCATCATCAATAGGCCCATTTTTGGTAGGCAATTTGTGTTCCCAGCAGTTGTTTGGGAGCGGTTTGCCACAAAGTCCACTGTTTCCTTCATAGATGGATGGATTGGTCAAGGTCTGAAGTTGATTTCCTGATGGTATTGGCCCGGAAAGTTTATTGTGTGACAAATTCAGGAAGTTCAATGAGTACAGATCAGATAAGCTTTTAGGGATTGCACCGAAGAGTGCATTCATTGATAGATCAAGTGTTTCAAGTTGCTTCAAGTTGCCAATCTTATCCGGGATCCTTCCAGTCAAATGATTTTGTGAAAGATTCAAAACTTGCAATTGAACCAGTTCCATTATCCCATCCGGGATCTCGCCAACTAAATTATTTGCTGAGAGGCTTACGGATTTAAGAAGCCGAAGGCTCGATGCGTAATACTCAAATTCTCTTCCTCCCTTAATGTCTTGAAGGCTTTCTTGCCCATAAATGCCGTAACCAATGTCAAATGCTGATACCATGGCACTAATGTTGTTAAAGCAGTCAGGAATAAATCCAGTCAAGTTATTATGTGCTAAGTTCAGCACTTGAAGATGCGAGAGTTGGCAGAGTGTATCAGAAATAGGTCCATGGAAGTTAATTGACTGAAATCTTAGAAACCTTAAATTTGATAACCTTTCCCCAATCCAAGCTGGTATAATATCCTTCAGTCCATTGTCTCCGAGATCAAGAGCTTCCAAATTTCTCAGACGCTGCATTGAGGCAGGGAGCTTCCCAACGAATTTATTTCCATTCAAATGCAAAGCATAAAGTTGCCACAAGTTGCCCAGTGAACTCGGAATTTGACCGGATAGAGTGTTATTTGCCAAGTCTAGGATCCACAGGTCTCGCAAGTTTCCTAGACACAGAGGAACTCTTCCGGACAGAAGATTGTTGGATAGATCCAGAAAAGATAAATTTTCCAACTTGCACAAGTCTTCAGGGATAGTACCTGTGAAACGGTTATCATTCAGAAAGAGAAAACCCAGCATATGTACAACCGAAGTTTGACCATCTTCAAGCTGCGGAATATGTCCAGTAAGAAAATTGTGCGAAAGATCTAAATCTGAAATATCCAGCGGAAATGATTTGAGAGATCCGTCCAATTTGTTGGAGCTTAGAGATATTTCTCGAGAAGCATAACGACTATGCTTCAATTGTTTGAACTCCAAAGGATTTCCTGTCAGGCTGTTGCTGGAGAGATCTAATGACGTAATATTATCACAAAGCACTCGAAACCAGTTGGGTATGGCATCTGAGATGCTCGCGTTCTGCATGTTTAACACCTCAACCTCATTCTGCGTCCGAAGCCAAGCTGGAAACCTGGGTCCCACAATGATGGATCCCATCCCAATTTCTTGGAGTTGAAAAGGAGGAATCCACGAGGAGCTCACATTCAGAGCGAGTGAGTTTCCAGTTAGATCCAGTGACTTTAGCTCTCGGAGTTTCGCAAAATGGTCTTCAGATAGGACCCCAGTTAATGAATTGTTTCTAACGTCAAAATCTTGTAGCTTCGTCAGCTGCCAAAGATTGGTCGGTATGGTGCCATTTAATTTATTAGAGGACAATAATAGATTAGTTAGTTTTGAAAGCTGGCCTATTTTACTTGGTATTGGTCCTTGCAAAATATTCTCACTCAAATCCAAATAAGTAAGACTGCTTGCAATACAAAGTGATTTCAACGTTGAAGCATCAAAACGGTTTGAAGATAGATCAAAATGAACTAGAGAGGTCATTTGGTCAAATAGGCCATGAATTGGATCAGAAAGATTATTATAACCAAGACCAAGATCATGGAGGCCAGTAAGATTATGGAGCCAAGGAGGGACCGTGTAGTTGTTGAAATTATTTTCACCAAGGTCAAGGGAAGCAAGAGATGTGAAATTGACATGTGAAAGATGAGGATGGATGAAAAGATTACAACTATGCAAGTCTAGTGTTGTTAGCGAAGAAAGCATGTTAATTGACTGTAATCCATCTTGAGCGGCTGTAAGGTTCCCCCCGAACAGGACTAGTCCTTGTAGAGAAGCGAGCCCAACAACCCACCCGAGATCCTTAGTGCTCAACCAATTCCATACTGGGGAGGAATAGGAATCCCCAAGATCCAAATACTGTAAATGCGAGAGGTTTCCTAAATGGTGGGGAATTTCACCATGAAATCCTGCACCTGAGAGATTGAGGTATCTCAAGTTTTTCAACAATCCAAGGAATGTGGGAACTTGGAATGTTGAAAAATTATTCACACTCAAATCCAAGTATCGCAAATTGGTCAAATTGAACAAAGATGGAGTTAATCGGCCTCCCAAGCAATTTGTGCAGTGATAATCCTCATCAGAATAGAGTGGCACCGTGTTGCGCAGATCAAGTTTCAAAACACTACCAGTGATTTTATGGCAACCAACTCCTTCCCATGAACAATAACCTTCTCCAATCCAAGACGACAGACGATTTGATTCATCTTTTAACCCATGTTTGAGTTGAAGAAGGGCATGTCGTTCACTTTCAATACAGGTGACATTTGAATGATCATAAGCTTGTTTGCGGCTACCAAACGGGAATTGGCTAGTGAGAGGAACAGAACTGAATAAGAAGAGTAGTAGTAAAGACGAAGAAGTACAAAGAAGATGATGCTCCATTGGATTTCTTTGGTATTATTGGTTTGTTTGATATGGGAAGCTCAAATGGCCAGGTGGCCTTATTTATACACTTACAAAAAGTATCACTTCAATGTTCTGTGTTTGTAGGAAGTAGGATGGAACTATACAAAGGTGACAAAATGACAACGACTTCAAGTCTTCGTGGGAGAAAAAAAAAATTTACAGACGCGGGTGAGGGGAAAGACAACGTTGAAAATCTTGCGTGATTGTGGGAAAAATCATTGGTGACATACAAATGGAAACATTGATTGACTTTTATTTGGATTGTAATTTGATTTGGATACATACTTTACCATAATATCATCAAATTATCATCTAATAATCCAAAAACATTTAGTGTTCGACTTTTTTCTCTCTCTTTTTTTTTTTTGGGTAAGCAATATCCAAATCTTCATGGTTTGTAATCTATAAGACAAGTAACTGAACCATTTTCTTTTACGACAATTACAACCATCCAGACATGAGGGACAGAATTAGGCTCCGTTTGATAACACTGAATCTGAATTCTGAATTCTGAATTCTGAATTCTGAATTCTGAATTCTGAATACTGAAATAATTAATTTGCTGAATTTTAAGCACTGAAAAGAGATATATGAATGTCTGAATCTTAATGCTGAATCTATTTATACTGTTTGATAAATATTAATAACTTAATGCTTAAGAAGCTAAATTGTACAATTTTGCCCTTCTATCTTTTAATCCAAAAAGGAAATAGAACCTATGATTTAATTAACTTAAAATTGTTAGGTATGAAAATGACAATGATTGTGAAGAGCAATGCATACAATGACAATATTTCTTTGTGTGGGAAAAGGGTATGGTTTCATCGTTTTGAAAATGGGAAAACGAGTTTTTAATACTCCAAAAGCACGTTCAATTACATTTCTCAATCTTGCATGTGCTTGGTTAAAGCGTTATTCTTTTGATCTTGGACGAGAAGCATTTCGAAAATCAGACAACCAATATCTAATATTTCGATATGGTGTCATAAAGCCACGTGTGTGTGGATAAGTTGCATCACATAAATAATATTTATCTGCACAAAAAAATATATATATTAAAATATAAATGTTTGTGGATAAAAATTACTGCAAAAAAATACTATTGTTAAAAAAAAATTTTGAATAGAGAATATCAGGTTGTTTTGTTTAATTAGATAAGAATTTTAAATAGGAAATATTAGGTTGTTTAATTAGATAAGGATTTTGAATGTAATTAACAAACAGGGATATATTTGGTAGATAAGATAAAGTAGTTGAAGTAAATCTCTTGATTCTTATCAAATTAAGCATTCAGCTACGATTCTTGTGCTGAAAAAAATACATACAAATTCAGTACCACTTAATAAGTTCAGCAGGTGAATTTTTATTTATCAAACACCCACAACATCTGAATGTTTGAATGAATTCAGTTTCAGCACTTTTTTATGTTATCAAACAGGCACTTAGTCTTTTGGGAAGAATTGATAGTCATATTAGTCACAGCTGTATGCATGACTGAATGGCAATTATCCCTTAATAAATAAAGTCAATAACTTCGCTTATATGTCATATGGTTTAGTTTCTAAATTATTTTCACACCTCCCTGAGTTTGTGTCCATTTCAATTAGATGATTGGGGAATATCTACCAATGGAGAAAGAGAAAATACAGCATTTGGTAATATCTGAATTCTGACATCTACAACAACATGTATAAGCATGTCCCAAAAAAAAAAAAAAAACTAAATAGATGGGAGTTGCCCTATTTATTCCGCTGTAATATTCCCCTAATAAAAATCCTTTTGTCCCTTAAAAATACTCTGATAAATCACTCTATATAATTCAGATGTTATAGCACAAATGACAACGTGACATACAGTCGAACGAAAAGAAATGTAATTAGCTAGAAACATTAGTGGAGCAATACTAAAAAATATCCCATTGGATTTTTTTTTCTTGGTGCCTATATGGGTTTGTTTGCTCACATTGGAAGTAATCTTTTTAAATTAACTCTTCGTAACGTAAAATTAATTAAAGAACAATCTATTAGAAAATAAAAAAATTTAATATTTTCCCATGCATATTCTTATGATTCTTTATACAACAGTATAAACTGGTTGTTCACTAATTATTATAACAAATAAGACAATCAGATAGAACTAGACCAAAAAAAAAAAAAAAAAATCCAACCCTGATTGTCCTACTCCAGCAGATGCATATTAAACAATGACAAAAAGGATGAAACCAGGTCTCAGTAACTTATATTACCAACAAACTTGCAGATCGGTAGCCTGTCACCTGTCTCCAAAATATTGGATGGGTAAAACCAACTCCTTTAAGGAGATAATATTAAATATTACTGGAATTGTTTATGCCTTACTGTAAGTGATATAAGGTGCAGTATTGGAGAAGGATTGGATTGGATAGTAAACTCAAAAATATTGTAAGTAGGTTTTGGATTTAAAACTTCTTATTTACAAATATATATATATATATATATATATATATATATATATATATATAGATTAATTTTCTTATACTGACAGTGTATATATTATCAGTTTTGAATAATTTATAATTATGTAAATTTTAAATTTAAAATCCAACTTTTATATATGTATCATGAATTTAACGATAATAATATTTACACTGCTGTCTGTACATATAAAATTTATCATATATACATACATATATATATATATATATATATATATATATATATACACACACACGATGCCGTCCTGATAAGGCCGTTGACATTTGCGAGGCATGGCCTGCAATTGTGCCGCAGGAAAAGGCGAAAAGCACGATGACTTGGAAGTCTTTGTGGAGCACGATGGCTTCAGTGACCCTAAATGAGACATCCATCACCATCTAAATCGGTATTGGTTGTTGAAGCACCGAACGATGTAAAATCATACATGATAGATATAACGGTTGCGTCTACGGTGGAAAGTTCACCTTTCTGCCCATAGTAGGCAGAAGCAATGCAAGGAGGCAACTGTGCTATGTGGGGACGCACAAAGGCGGACAGATAAATGATGTATCGGGCACCGGAGAAATTCGGTTGGGCTTGGATGAAATAATGCAATACATTTTAAAATTACAATAAAAGTCCTCTTAAAATTTTGTTCATCATCTAATACCCATTACTTAGGAAATATTTTGTGAACACTCCAACCGAGATGCAGGTCCCAATGAAAAGTGAAGAGCGAAAAAGTGAATGTCAAAAAAAACGTGAAAAATAAAGGTACAAAAAGGTAGACGGAATTGTTATAACAGAAAATAGGTGAAATTTTCAATATTATTTAGTAAATTTTGCACATGTCAAAATAAATATTGTGATAGTTTTTATATTTTAATTGAGTTTAAAATTTGAAATAATTGAAGCATAAATATAAAAGAAAAAGTTGGGATATCAAACATGATTAAAATAAAGGAAGATGTGCAATTTTGGTCCCCTAACGTTTGGTCTATGAGTTGAACTAATCCCTGATATTTTGATCAAAATAAATATGGTCCCAAATTTTTTATTTTAGGCAAATTTAGGACAACTAATAGAAAACAATATCTAACAGTCAAAATCAAGTTAGAATTAGTCAAAAGTTTGACTTTATATTTTTTGGTCTCTAATATTTGAAAATTTGTTCAATATGGTCCCTTATATTTTAAATAATTATATTTCAAATAAAATAAAATGTGAATTAGATTAAATGCATAAAAAATGTGTTCTAAATCTCATTAAAATCCTTAAAAGTAATCCACATTGTCAAAAGATATCATTTAGCCTAAAGAGCATCTTTTCATTAAATTAATTACAAATCAATGATAACACATAAATCATATATAAAAGAAAATTTAGTGGAAAAAAGAGAATTTTAATTTGAGTGTATAGTAACTTTAATTGTAAACAGTATAACACAAATTGTTGTATGACTTGTGTATATGAGTTTCAATCAGTTATGGTTAGGCATTGTGATTATAATAACAAGTAAATGTGATTACCAATATAAAGGACTCACATGAATTTTTAAAAAATTTCTTGCTATTTCTTCTTGTCTTTCTTTTATATTAAATCAAATATTTCAATAATACAATTAATGTATTTATATTTATGCTCATCTTAAATTGACAATTTAAATAATTATAAAATATTTATTTCAATTGAAACTTAATTGACAACTAGTTGAAATACAAAAAAAAAAAAGAAAAAGAAAATATCATTCAATCAACTCAATGACATATAGTTGTTTATATTATAATAGAATATTTAATTAACTATTTTAATTTATCAAATATAAGTATTGGGCATTAGATGATGAATAAATTTTTAAGAGGACTTTTATTGTGATTTTAAGATGTATTACGTTTTTCATCCAGACCCAACCGGTTTTCTCCAGTGGTGCTCGGATATCCTTCTTTGTGCGTCCCCACATAGCACAGTTCGCCTCCTTGCATTGCTTCTGCCTACTATGGGCAGAAAGGTGAACTTTCCACCGTAGACGTAACCTAGATATAACTATTAAAACAAAAAATGTAGATAGTACGATAATAACATGAGAAAACATAATAAATTTTAGCACCCAATTAAAATATATCACCCATTCAATCTATCTTTCTAATTTTGAACTAACTCGTTAGCCACCATCATATATTAACTATACTATGCAATCACTATTACGTATGATTACATAGAATCTAAGTCCCTTAAGCAGTAGTATAGATTAGTTGGATGTTTAATATTATATGATACCATTATTTGGCAAGAAATAATTGCGAGTATTGTTGGAATAAGCAATCCAAGAATCAATCAAGCAAAATAGATTCAATTGCTATTCTTGTGGTTTTAGTTTATTTTTCTAAGGAATATATAAGGTAACTTATCTAATTTGTTTAAAACAAGGCTAGAATTTGTGTCATAGCCAACTCCTTTCATATGTCATGAGCAACAATCCACCATGATTGGTGATTTGATTTATTTATCAAATTTTCTCTCAATTGAAGAAGAGCTTATCATTCACTTTCAGTATAGA